GGTTAGAATTTCAATATACGATTTGGAGGGCACAGAAACCTTCAGATTATAGCAACCAGACAAGAGGGGATGTGATGCACCAGCCTGTGGGCCCAGAATTTGCGAGACTTGGAGGTGTATGAGGCTGAGAGAATCTGTGTGGCTGGTGTGCAGAGCTGAGGGATGAGGCTAGGAGGCAGGTGGATGGGCTGGGCCTTGGGGTGAGACCACGTTTGACCTTGAAATGAACTTACTGCCCTTCTTGTCTTCCCATGCCCTCCATTGGAAATCCCACCATCCCAGGCCCAGTGCAGTCACTGCAGGTCCCTATGCACCCCAGGTTCCCCAAGCCCACCCACAACTTAAGACACTCCCTCCTTTCTGGGTTCCCACAGCCTTCTGGTTGCCCCTGGTCCCCTCCAGCTTGCATGAGAGTTGTTGGCCTCCTCTGGGAGACCCCCTTGCTCCTGGCATTGGCTCCTCAGCCCTGACACGGCCCCGTGTGCACTCCATGAGTGGTCATTGGTTGGTTAAATCACTATGATTAGCTGTCTCTAGATGTTTGAACATCCTAGAGGTTGTCTTGGGGAGGAGGGAGGGCTCTTTCTCCCAGTTTCCCCAGAAGGTAGATCTAAGGCCAGCCCAGGAGTTTTTTAAACCCCAAATGTGGTTTGTGAGATAGATTTTGCTCTTGTTTTAAATGTGTCTGCACCCTGGAAAGGGGAGAAGATACATTCTTTTCCTCCACTTCTGTCTACACTATGCCCTCATTCTGAAGACCTGAGGCAAAAACACTGGAAACACAGGGGTTCAGCTGCACATTTTTGCACAGTTCTCTGTTACCATTTGTATATTTAACTAAAACCTACCAGACAGGAAATCATTTATAAAATCCTGGGCAAACTCTACTCTGTCAAGGAAAGTATTGTAACAACTTCTAAGTCCCACCAACAATAATGATAATAATAAAAATAGTAATAACAGAAAATGTCCTAAGCTGATATTTGTTGTGTGTTTAGTACGTGTGCCGAGTATTGTACTGAAAGTTTTAAATGCAGTATCTCATTTTGTCCTCACAACAATGCTGTGTCCTAGAAAACATTAATATCCTCGTTTTAGAGAAGAAGAATGAAAGTTTAGATTGGCTAGCTAACTTGTCAGGGTTTCTTCAAAGCAATTTTCTTTTGTCTATTACCAGAATTCTTAAACTATAGTTCATAGTCTGCCTTCCAAGTTGTGTAAATCCCCTGAAATAATTTGCCAAATTTTGCTTATAGGTCCCTAGGGAGAGGGTCTGTAGCTTTCATAAGATTTTCAGAGGTGTCCGATGGTCCAAAATAAAGTGAAGAGCCTTCGCTCAGCGCTAAAGCAAATCCCAAATGGAGCCTGGAAGGCTTGTTGTGATAATTACACCAAACTCTTCTCTTGTGTAACTGAGTCTATTTCAGATCACTTTTTTTTTTATTTTCTTTTTTAGTTCAGAGGATACAAGATCCTGGTATCAGGAGGCATGTCTTTCTGGCACAGCTGGGGATGCCATTGATATTTAGCGAAGGCCACATTTTCCTCCCACAAGGAACTCAGAAGAGGTGCACAGAGCTAAGAGACGTTCAAGGGCAGTGCCTCCTGTCATTATGGGCTGTGGACTATCAGCTCTCAGTCACAGTCTACACGCCTCATCAAACCACATTCAGAAGGCACTATGGTAGTATAGGTTACTAGAATTCTGTAGGTTAGCATTATTACTTTAAATTGGAGCTCTCTACTGACAGCTTAGGCTGTAGGAGTTATGCTTAAAAACTTTAATTCTTATGTTTCCCCATTCCTGCAACCTAATTTTAGGTTTTTCAAACGTATCCTGTTACTGTACTAAATTGATATTTCCTAAAGTCTGACTCTATGAAGCATATTTCGTTTAAAATAGAATACATTTTAATTTTTGATGAGCTGCCTTTTTTTTTTTTAAGATTTTAAGGGTTACCAAGCATCTTGAATCCTATAGAAAGTATTACAGTGTGGCAGCTTAAAGTTTGTATTTCTAAAGTCTGTTTCCAGCTTCCATCAGTTTGAGGTTACCACAAACTCAAGCTGATGTGGCCATTTTCTCACCTGTCACATGTCATATCTACTTCAGCAGCCAATTTGTCCCTGTTGGCCAGATTTAGGTCCCGAGCAGCAGTTTTCCTGGTTGCTTCCTCTATTTTCTGAGAAACAAAATTGCCTGCTGGGCAAGTCAAGAACTTGTCAGATACTCAGGTTTTAGCTTGATGAGATGTTTTATTAGTCTGGACTTTTTAGGTGACAGAAACCTAGCTCAAGTCACGTTAGGCAAAAGGGAATTGGTAGGTTCACGGGACTGAGAGGCACCTAGGAGACACACAGCTGGGTGGGGGCCCCCGGGTGACAGTGACACCAGCTGGTGCTTCTCCCTGATTCTTTTTGTGTTTGGCCTCACGCTGTCCTGCCCCAGCCTGGCTGCCTCTGAGCGGTGGGAAGGATGGCCTGGCCATCCCCTGACCTCATCAGTACAAAGAAGCAGCATGCCCTGCTGTGCTCTGCAGAGAAGTCCTGGGGAGACTCTGAGGACCTCTTCTCCACACCCACACCAGGGTAGGGAGACAGACCTGGATAAGCAGGCAAGATATCCAAGCTCCCTAAACCCAAATTCCCCATCTGTAAAAGAGGGATGAGGCTAGGCCGCACCTCACAAGGCTGCTATAAGGGCTAAATGAGCTAATGCCGGGTAAAGGCTCAGCCCAGAGCCTGGCACTGCTGGCTCTGCTGGTCTGAGCTCGCAATAAACAGCCAGTGAGTAGAAATGGCCATCCCCATGATGCAGTGCACTAATAAATGCTGGCTTTTGTTAATATTATCATCATTATTAAGAGCACTTAGCATAGGGCTCAGCATATGTACCCAATAAATATCAATGATCATTATTAGCTCTTATTTAAGTACTGTTGTTACAAGGCATAAGGCATGGCACAAACTCTATAAATGTTAGCCATAGTAATACCAATAAGAATACTTAGTGCCTGGCATATACTAGTATATTTTAACAACCATCCTGACTGTTACTATCAGCACTTATTATTTCCTGTAAATTACTTGGCACCTTGCTATTGCCAGTCTCCTCTCCTCGTCCTGCCTAATATCCTCGCTGGTACCCAGCCTCACGGTAACTAAGCTTTTCTCCCTCAACCTCTTTATTAAGCTTCAAGCCCACTTCATCATGTCCGCTCCAGGCAAACCAGTCTTTTCCACTTCTCCCGAGTTGCCCTCTTCTCTGGGCACAGGCCCAACCTCCCAGGAGGGTGTGCT